CGTAGGGAACGAGAATCCAATCTGAGAATTATACATTCAGTTGAAACTGGGAAATAAACATTCAATTTGATTCAAATTGAATTTCATACATCTAAGCATTGTCAGGAAATGAATAGTTGTATACCATATATCCGATTTTAGCTGGGAAATGGAAAGCCCCCCTGAAATCCATATATCCAGTACGAACTGGGAAATAGATACATATATTGGACACCATTCATCCAATTCAATCAGGGAATGGACAACCCAAGTGTGCACCATACATCCGACTTGTGTCGAGAAGTAAGGGATTAACCTAAAATCCATACATCCAGACAAGCTGGGAAATAGATACTTAGGCCCCTTTATACATTCAACTCAAGCCAGGGAATGGACAACTCGAGCATACACCATACATCCAACCTTTGTTGAGAAATGTGAGTTTAACCTGAAATTCATACATCCAGATAAACTGGAAAATAGATACCTAGGCCCCACCATATATTCAACTCCAGTCAGGGAATGGATAACTCAAGTGCATCATACATCCATGCTTACCTAGGAAATGACTGCACACTTTCGCGTCATACACCCAATCATGATTGAGAAATAAGTATCGGTCTGTTATACATTCAGTCAATGTTTGGGGAATGACAACTCGAAAAGAGAGGATGCTGCCAGAGATAACACCAAATTCACCACAATCAACACCGAATACCCGTTTCTTCAAACAATAAATGACCCATTTATAAATATGTCAAAACAACCTATCCTTGCATTCTGTTTGGATGGGTCTTGCTTATTACATTATTCATATCATCAATCTGCTGAGACGGACAGTAACGTGGAGTGTGCCCTATCAAACCACAAGAGTGACACCTCACTTTCTTCCACCAATTCCCTGCTCGTCGGGAGCGACGATGGTCAGGATTGCCCTTGGCCGCACACTGAATGTTAGCGACTTTCGATATATCCCGAGGATTAGGTTGAACCTCCTCTCGTCTATGCCTTCCTTTTGTGACTGAAAAGTCAACCGTACCCTTTTGCTTCTTATCGTTACGTCTCGAAATCTTTTTCTCTCATGGCTTTCAAAAATTCTTCAACATCTGAAAGTTCTTTCAAAATATGCTCATCACGCTGGTCCGTATGACTATTAGAAACTAACTGTCGCCGTATGTTTTTCAGATCCAGATGAAGAACATGATCAAAACCATCATTCAAGGCATTCTCACGGATCTTCTACCAGACAAAAGAAGATCTGAGACCTTTCAATAAAACTCGTGATTCCACCTCAAAAAAGTTCATGAGAAACATCCTACTCTTATCCATTTCTGAGAGGTCCGGAACAAGACGAGCCACTTGCTCAAACACAGAAAAGAACTTCCCGAACGTAGGATACTTGTCACGACAAACATTCCGGAGGTCGTCACGAGTTAGAGTTTCATTCCCAAGTTGGAACATATCGAACATCGTTTGATTGAAATCATTCCAACTTTTGGCTTATGAAACTAGCCTCGCTACCTCACGACGAATGTTTTTATGCACCCATGACACCACTATTTTCAGCATTGTCTGCTCATCCCACTCATGAGCAACAGCCAATTGCTAAAACGTTGAAATAAATTTCACAACATTGTCACCATTAAAAATCGGGACATCAACCTTTGGAGCAGTCGCCACTCTTTCGATCTTCTCTCCGAGTGTTTCAATCAACTTTTCCATTTTGTCCCAAGGACCGTCATTCAGCCTGCTACCTTCCGCCATCTCGCTACGAGAAGATTAACCTGCAAGCGATGAGGCATAAAGGTAAAAAGCTGAAATGACTCGTGAGGTCCATCACTTGTTAACATATAAATAATATCGGACTTTCCTACTACTCCGTAGAGGTTAGCAGAAGATAATCAATTCATACCTTGTCCTCTAAGAAAGTAGCATTAATAAAAGAAGATGAATCTAACTACCTTTTCAAAGTAGATCTGATAACGGTGTATCGTCATATCTATTTTCAAAAGATGCTAGTTTGAAATAAAAATAAATCTATACAATACCCGAGTGTCGTTCCGCTAGGGACAACAGTAGTTTGCCGTTATCCCCAGCAACGGCGCCACCTGTCGAGCGCATCGGCTCCTGCCTTCTTGCAAAGCGCGGGAGCCCTTCCGGCTATGTCATGCAGGAGTAAAACGAAAGCAAAACCCTGAGACAACTTGGGAACGACACTTAACAACCCCGTGAACTGCCGAGACGGTTGCGGTAGCGTCATTCCGTCGCCGCTCTGGCCGGGTGCACCTATTGCACATCCCACGGTCCCCTACGACAGGATAGGTTCCTGCGGGGCGTGAACTTTCCTTCCATAAGGGGCTGTCACCACCCTTAGGGGCGTATCCCTACCGAGCTATCGACTCACGTGCGAAGGCTTTTAGACGCAATTGCAGAGGTAGGCCAGCCGAGGGCGTTTGCTCGTTCGTTGTAGTATAGATACGCTTGGTTAACGCGAAGTGGACCCGAGAGTAGTCCGTTCCTTAGACCGCTGATCTCCTAAGTACGAAGCGGGCGTCGGTCGACTAGGACGGTTTCAACCGAGCGTGAAACCCACAACTCAATCCTAATCCCTTAGATATACCGTCAAAAGAAAATTATAACAACCACACATATACTTACATCAATTGGAATCGACCGTAGACGATAGGAACATATATCCAAAACGATAATTGAAAGAATTCAAATCATCATCTCATACATCCAAGCACACAAGACTAAAAAAAAATCAATCCGACCATCCGCCAACGAGGAGTTGGCTTCGACAATAACCACGATGAAAACCGACAAGGTCGTCGGACTGCCTTAGTTTTGACTTGATGAGACGCGTTGCCAAAGTCATCCATTCAACCTAATGCTGACTTATGACCAGACGCGCTCACACCCATCTCCATACTTTCTAATCTTTTTGGATGATAGACTACTTTGCGGATAATTCTTGATCAGAGGCATTGCTTGAAGTGCTGCATGCCTCTCCCTACCCCAATTTTAAAGATTTTTAATTAAAAACTCGCTAAATAAAAAAACCTGAAAAAAATCAAGCGAGCGGGTTACGTGCCCACGCATCCAGAGAAAACAATTCAAAGTCAGAAAAAATCATTTCGGCCACCAAAAAAATGTTGGCGCAAACCAAAGAAAACAAGAAAAGTAACTTTTCCCCCTTCGAAGCTTTGAACCCATTTTCTCTTTTTTTTTTTTTTTTTTTTTTTTTCCAGGTGCCTTGCCAACGAGGCAGGGCAAATCTCCCGTGAGGCATCAACTGCCTCACACCTCGTACTCACACTAATGCTGTAGTGCCCTGTATTTTTTTCTTCTTTTTTTCTCTTTTTTCATTGGCATAATCCAATGACCACTTCAAATTCGTTGTACACCCACGAACTGATGAAATACAAACCTGAGTTTGAATCCTAATGAAAAGGGCTTTTCCCTTGCTGTAGCTTGGCCTTGCCAATGAGGCAGGGCAGTTCATTGTGCCATTGGGCACCCATGAACTGTTGAAACACAAACTCAATTTGAATGCAGCTAGGTGAACGGGGCTGCGCCCTTTTTCACAGTTGCTGGCCCCCCTTCATATCTTGCCAGCAATGCAGGGCAGTCCGTGGGCCCTGGCACCCCCCCACAAACTGCTGAGACATAGACCTGAGTTCGACCCCTGTCGGGGATCCACGACGGGAAATCTTTTTGGACCACTTCTCGATTTATGCGTGTCGTCCTTGCGCAGTGGCCACCAACGATCGGCGCGGCTGTTCCTGGTCGTACGATCTAGCGATCAGAACGGTCGAAAAACGGCCGCGCTCGTTACCTGGGGCAGCTCCAAAAGGAGCTAGTCCAGTGATATCGTCGTCGGGCTCGATCCCAGCGCCTGCTGTGTGAAAGTCTGTTGTCGTACCTACTGGGCTAGCTCCTACTACGGGAGCTAGACCAGCAGTTCTTCTGTATGAATAGTTGCCGCCAGCAGGCCGCCCCAAAAAGCCTTAGCAGGCTTTACCTACCGTTTCCCCGCCGTCGACCAGCCGCACCGCCATCGGCACGGCGACTGTCTAGCAGCACGACACGCATGCTGCCGCCGTATACACGGCGCGGCATAAAAGAATCAGCGCACCTACGACTTATGCCACACAACAATCCTTTAGATAGTATAAGTCCAGACTATTGCTCCCACCGATTGCATGCCCCTGCGGCCTTATCGGGAACCGTGGACGACAGGCCATACTGCCGACTCCCACTGTTTTGATCAGACGTCAACGACGTCAGGCTCCAAAAAAAGTTGAAGTCTCTCAGTCATGGTCAGGTCTTAATAAACTTTTGGCAAACGTCAGTCACATCAAGCCCTTCAACTCAACGAAAGAGTCGGACAACGTCCGACGTTGGAAATCCCCGACAGATACCCTTGTCAAGGTATTTGCCCCGACACCGTGATTTTAGTGGCGCGATGGCTTGGGGTGGTGTGGACGGGCAGCGAGACGCACGGATATGCGTCGACGACGTTGAGACCAAAGCGGCCGCCCATTGGTGGTCCAAGCATGGACATTGCGCCCCTCAGCTTCAGCCCATTTCTCTTCGTGTGATGCACATTTGGACGTGCTCCTCTCTTGCGGAGAGGAATTGGGCCATCCATGAAAGCATTCACACGAAGAAGCGGAACAGACTTGAGTTCGACAAGGTCGCGACATGCGCCTCCTCGTACACCAGTGTGCAGGCCACGGATTTGCTTTGCCGAGGTCGCGAGACGAGTCGCTGCTCAATTTGGAGTCTCGGATCGGGACAGAGCCTCTGTGGGAGGGGCCATATATAAGGAGGACACAGGAGGAGCGAGAGGAGCAACATTGTCAATGGCAGAGAGATTTGTGTGGCTCGAACGAGCCCACGCCCGTGGAGGACATTTTCGGCACACGAGCGGCCACTCGCTGGCGGTACCCGAGAGATGACACCGACGACGAGGACTTTCCTCAACGCACAAATGTTGATGTCGGGGATGTGGGCGGCGGTGGTGGTGGAAGGGACAGATTGGAGCGACCCTGGAGATGTTTAGAGACGGAACGGTGGGATGGATGTTTTCGGGGACGGAGAGGGGGTGGAGGATTTCTGGGGCGAGTACGGCTGGCCGACGGAGCGTGGGGATTGTGATCCTGGCCGCCACACACGGGACGTGGACCTTTCATCGGGGCACGTGCTGTGGACGGCGGGACAGTCAGCAAGTGGGAGTGGGCTGCCAGGATGGAGCGCTGCACCGGGGGAGGGGGAGAGGCTGGCATCCTCCGTTGATCGTGCTTCCACCGTTGCAGCATGTGGTACCACAGGGGGGTGTGCCACGATGCATAGGTCGAAAAGGGGCCCTGGAGTGCGTGCTCGACGTCTGGTACTGGACGGGCCACCTTCAGTTGTTCCAAGGGTGCATGGCGCTGGCGGAGCATCCAAAGGAGTGCGTGACACGGCAACAGGTGTGGATGGTGGTCGTGATTCACCATGCCCTTTCAGTGATTTTGTCGATTTGGGAGCGCCTCCTACTGAGACTCCTTCTCGGGGCGACACATCCCCAGCCATGGGCGATATCTTGGGCCAGATCGCCGAGGTCATGTCGTGCAGCTTCACACCTGGTATGAGCAGGGAGCTCGACGACTCCCCTTCTCATGGCATGGAAGGAGTAGGGGACGGAGTGATGGCCGATGACGACACGACACCCCCGGGAGAGACGGCTTCGCGGAGGCAGGACAGGTTGGACAGTAGGCGAGTGCAACTTGTTGCGCGCGCCTGCCAAATCACACAAGAACTCTCATGCAGGGCGCAGAAGGAGAGCAATCTTGAGATTGGCGCTCGCACGCGTGATGAGTTGGTTGGTGCATTGGTCATGGAGCCAAAGTCGAGGGGCGATCGGTCAATCGCTGTAGAGATGGAGAGGGAGGTGGTGTTGCCCACGGCGGGTGACATTGGCACCACAAATCCGCAAACTTGTCCCGGACTAGAGGACATATTGATGAGCCGGTCGCCAGACGTTGATGGCCCATTGGGCTGCCCGACGAGCGGAGGGACGGAGGAAGCAGTCGCGACAAAGACCTGCGGATCTGAGGTTGGGCCGCCATATGACATCGCTACCGGTGCAGGGCAGGCACATGAGGACGTTCGTTTACGAGTTGCCCAGGTAGCCGCATCCACCCATGCAGTTGTGGGTGGAGCGGAGGGGTTGACCACTGTTGAGGTTGGTGGTTACGTAGACACCGACACAGGTTGTGCAGCAGCGTCGGCAGCAGCTGCTGACGAGGGCGTGATGATGGCACCAGCAGTACATGGATCCGCGGTGGGTCCCGTCAGGGATGGGCGTCCCGTGATGCATAGTCCCACACACGGAAGGGATCATACGTCGTGTCAGGCAGAGGACATCCCGTCCATGGCCACGCGCATTGGGAGAGGCATACCCCCAACGCCACTTCCCCCGCTTCGCCCTTCCACACAGAGGATTCCGTCAAGGGTTATGTCACAGCCTCGGGGATCCATGCCATGTGGAGCAATGACGGTCAATGAGTTGGGGGGGTGTTTCGACAGGGACCTCACGGAGATAGACACACGC